AACATAAAAATAAAAATGGAAATATGGAACTCCTTAAAACCCATAATATCTCAGAATCACAGGGGTCAGAGTGGTCATCTAACCGAGGTGATAATTGATCCGATGTTCAAAATCATTGAACTCACACACTTAAATGCTCTCTTCCCAGGTGAAATAATTCTCAGATCATTTACCCTTGGTCACATGATCTGGGTGGATGCAGCTTGACCTCGACTGACTTTCCTCTCAACATACATAGACATGAGTATCACCAGTTAAATGCTCCACGAACAGGTGGTTTCCAAAATGCAGCCACTTAAAATAACCTTAAATGGTGGAATCTCTTTATAGCATGAGATACAAAGGCTTTATAAAGAAAAACAATGTTAGCTTCTTACAAAGTAATACACATCTCTTTAGAAATTCTTCAGAAATCCCTTCCCCGCACCCCAGTAGAGGGTCTGTCTGATTGCACTGGCGGAACCTGACCAGACCCATGGGAATTGGGGCAGCGTGGGACAGTACAGGGACCATCCCCAGAGCCAGGCTGGCCAAGGACTTGCCCTCGAGTCTCTTCATGTTCTTTATGTTATTTCCTTTCAAATTATAAGAGAAAGTTTATTTAGAAAGTCACAGAGGTAGTAGGAGTGAGCCGGCCGGGCAGCTTAGGCTCAGGAAGCCAGTTTGAGAGAGAGAAGATGGGCCCTTGGAGCTTAGGAGAGGGAAAGGCAAAGACGACGTGCCTGGGGGGGAGAGAGGGGAAAGGGAAAGGTGCAGGCGTGCTCCCAAGAGGGAGAGTGTCTTAATTTTTTAGACCTTTGTTCCTTAGTGTATAAAGTGAAACAATAAAATATGTTTATCCTCCTGGTTGTTTTACTTTCTGGACTCTTGCAAGTATGAAAAGACAAAAGGTATATTTGGAAGAGCAGTGGTGATCGTTGGGAAAAAAGCAGAATTGCAATTTGCTGCTAAGTATGGCCTCCTCACCCACCAGCTAGGGATGTATTAATCATGATAATCACTAACAAACATTGACAAATAGCCCCACGCTCATATAAAGTGAAAACAGGGAGGCGGGGAGCAGCAGGGGTAACCCAGCCCCTGGGGTGACTTCTTGGTGCAGGGTGGTTTGCACAGGTTCCAGATGACGCACCAGGCTTGATTTCAAGCCCTGGTTTGAATCTTCACGGTAAACTTGTTTTCTTTTAAGACATCCCACGGGAGGCCAAGATTCCTCTCCTGTTTTCTGACAGATGTGAGAGGAGCTAAATGAAGCAACAAGTTAAAAGAAGATGTCGAGACAGTCTGATGTTATAAAACAAATCCAATGTGGTGAAAATATAATTTTTATTGTGTGTTCTTCTTTACGATCTAGAAAGCAAATGCTTTGATATTTTATTTGCAAAGAAAGCCTTAACCACATCACTTCCTTGGTGTCCTAGATTTTAAACAAAATCATTACATGAATATACCTTTTGAAAGAAAAATGCTTTAGGACATCAGTCCTGTTTGTAAATTTGTGTGGTTATTAAAACATCAGGGCCAATTCTGTTGAACTCAGAGCACAATATTTTAGGATAAAACCAGCTATCAGAAAAACACTTCTAAATTGATTAATTTTTTTTCACCAGAAAAGAAATACAATATTTTACTTGGCATTAAAACTCTACTTGTTTATTTCTTAAGCATCTGCATATTCAAAAAGAAATTGGTAAATGCATTCTTTTCAGTTATCTATAGCCAGGAACTGTGTGCATTGCATACTGTCTGAAGCAATGTAGAACCTAGAACAAATAGCCAAAAGAAGGATTCTCCTTAAGTTCTGTGACAATACAAAGTTGGGTCAAGCAGAGACAGCATTTTTCTGGAAATGTCTCATTCCAAGTCATGGCCCAGGGACCGGTGATGGCTTCCTTCAGTTGTGCTGCTTGCATTTGGTTCTTATTTTGGAGGAACTGACTGCCTAAAATGTTTACATTTTTGCTTTGAAGACATTTTTTAAGGAGAAAAAGGAACAGCTTTCATAGATAATCAGTTATTTTATTATTAGTTCAGCTGCACTTAATAAGGAAAGAGAGTATTTTCTAATTCTGAACTGCTTGGTTTGTGTTGACATTTCTCATTACCTGCATCTTTGCACACTGTTTTTCAAAGCAAATCCAACTATGACAAAGTTTGAAGAATCTTTAGCAAAGTAGATGGTCATTTCGCAGAAGCCAAGTGTGGTGGGGCTTAATTAACAGTGTACCACTGGGCAAGGCATTCACATTCACTGCTGTCAGCTGGAGGAGGACCCATCCTTAGGTCAGAAGTCAAAAAATTGACCAGGAGTTCCCATGTGCTCACATGATTAGCATTCACAGAGGTGATGTGTGACAGTGTGGCTGTGGGAAGGAGTGTCTGCAGGTAACGCTGAAGACTGCTCCCACCCTCTGAGCAAGTGCATACACACACAGGTTGCAAGCATGCACCTCTCCCACTCAGATCACATGTACACATCACATGTGCACACCACAGTGACATGTACACACAGGCGCACACGTGCTACACAAACCATGTACACATGCACATTGCACAAATCACAGAGACCAATCACACATGTTATTACATATATCATACATGCTAATTACACACACCACATCACACATATATCATACATACTAATTGCACACACCATGCACCACACAAATCTTTCACACCTATCATGCATACACATTCATGGCTATATCACACACTAATCACACATAGTGCACATATCCACATCCCATGAGCATACAGCACATGCATACGCACAGTGCGATACGCACAGTTAATAGGTTAGTTATCCGTAGCACTGGAGATGATATGAAATATGGGTGCATACCAGGATATTGCCAGGGGTTGCTGTGAGAATGTGGGTGAGCTCTAGGAACTCTCCGTGTCCGATGCCTGGGATTGAGGGAGTTAGATGGGACAATGTGGAGACCCCGTCTAGTCTGAACAACTCTCCCCCCACTTCTGTGGACATCTGCGTTTACTAACAGAGACACTCATCCCACCATTCTTCCCCCTTCTAATTCTGTTCTGCTTTACCTCTCCATCCCCAAGATGGGATTTAAAAGGCTAATCATTAACATCTCTGCCTTCCCCTTGTGTTCAAACATGGAGAGATAGACAAGGGCATCATGCAGGTGGAGAACAGAAAATTATCTATTATCGTTATAAGTATTTGGAGAATGTGGCTTGTGTCTGGGCCTAATGGACTTGCCACTCTTCCCCTGAATTCACCATCTCCTCTGGCCCAGGGGCCTCATGATTTGGCTGAGAGCAGAGGAGATGAGCGTGACTGCCTTCCTCAGGGGGAACTATGGGGGACTCTGACCCACAGAGTCCCCGGATTCACCGCAGATGGAAGAATTGTTCCAGATCATTTGCCTGTCAAGGAAAGGGGAAGGCAATTCCCCCTAGTGGAGAATGCCCTGAGCCTCTTTGCTCAATGGCTCTTATTGAGAGGCTTACCAGCGAGGGACAAGTAGCAGAAATGTATAGGTAATCTAATTACATCAGTATCTTAAGTTTACAGAGAGTAGGTGATGCTTGAAGAAGACAATGGCAGGAACACACCGCATTGCTTGGGTAGGAGATGAGCAAACGTGGCACCTGGTGGGATTCGTGTCAGGAATTATGTAAATTTCCTTCCCAGCAGGAGCCGGTTATCTGGTATAAGATTAACAGAGCTTGAGGGAGAAACAAAGCACACTTCTAGAAGTGTAATTTACTTCCTGGCCTGATTTCCCCCAGGGGCCCTCAGAGCTGTTATCAGGTCCTGCCTTTCAACCGCATTACCAGTGTTCCAGCCAGGATTTAGGGAGCATCTCCCAGGCCCCAGCTTTTGCAGGACTACAGTCCATGATACCACTCAAAGCGGCCCCCTACAGGGAAGATCCTACTGTGAGGGGCCAGAGAAGACCTAAGCTTCATGGTGCCAAGATCCTTCTCCCAGCCCCCCTCAAGCAGATAAATCCATCCAGCCCTCACTGGGAGAAGCAACTACATTGTGCAGAGGACAAACAGTGTGGTTCTCTGGGAAGTCCCATCATAGCGAACCTTGAAAGCTTAGGAATAAAAATCCTCTGGCTCTGGAGTTTGAGTCATAGCTGCTCATGCTCCCCATGCCAGGTATCTGATGGGATAGGTTGACCTGTGTTAGTGGCAGGCCCTTAGAGAAAAGCACAAAACTTTTGGAATCCAGTGCCCCACCTTTGTTGTTGAAGCTATTGGTTACCTGTTTGGTGAGAAGTAGAGTCCTGTGGAGGAAGGGCAGTGAGATTTTATCCAGGTGTGACCACGCATCTATTGCCAGATCTGTAGGTGTAGCCTGAACATGTAAAAGCAGAAGTGATCCTTCATCATTTTTATATAAGTGTGAATTATTGTCATCATCAAAAAAGTAACAAGTTTTATGTTTTCAAAGGCTACTGTATTCATACATAAACAAAAGATAATGGGGAAATATCACTTATGCAGCAAATGCCATTTTGGTGTGCAGGCAGCCTGTGTTAGTCACCTAGTATCACAATAATGCTGTGTCACAACCATGAAATCTCAGTGGCACACAACTGTACACTGTGGGTTGTCTGGGGTGGCTTTGCTTCCTGAATCTCTTAACTTCCTGGGACCAGTAAACTAACGGGGCCATGTTCTTTTTCTGATAAAGCATAGAAGAGCCACTCAAAACATGCCAGGCCTTCTAGCCTGAACAGGCTCTGGCACGTGGTTACTCAGACCCACATTACATGAGCAAATCACATGGCTGAGCCCAAAGACAAGGAGGGACTGCCAACTCAGCTGTCAAAGCGCATGGATCCAAGAAGGCAAAGGCTGTTTCTGTTCAGTAAATAAAAATGTTCGTTTGGACACAAATGAAATTAACTTCCCGCAGTGGCATATCTTGGAAGACTGTTGCTACTGTGTGTTTTGTTTTTGCTGCATCCAAGAGTTAGACACACTTACCATATTGAGTGGTTCTTTGTGTGCTTTAGATCTTGGCCAACGTGATCATCTTCATCTGTGGGAACCTGGCAGGAGCGTACCACAAGCACCTCATGGAACTTGCTCTGCAGCAAACATATCAGGACACGTGTAATTGCATCAAGTCCCGGATCAAGTTGGAATTTGAAAAACGTCAGCAGGTAAAAAGCATTTCAGTCTTACTTCTACATATTTAGGCATTATTAAAATGACGTTGGTACTGTTAATATCAACTGTGCAGTTCATTCATTCACAAGCCTCAGAGCTAACCCAGAGCAGCCTGTGCCCAGCCTGGGCTGTGCGCTGGGCAGGGTTGTAACACAAAGAGCAGAGATGGCCCAGGGATCCCAGGATCACCCACATGCAGATAAGACAGTCACATCAACCACCATTAACACATGGCTGAGGAACTTGAAATAATAATAACGATGCTTCAATTAGATGCTGACTTTTAGTGAAAGCCCATGTCTCTGTGGTAGTGTTTGTGGCGAGCCTGCTCCAGCTGAAATCTGAGCTTCCTTCTCTCTGTGCCCTGGGATACAATAATCTAATTCCTGACTGAGAAAGGTGGTTGGGATTGGGAGGGAGGGCCAGGAGCGCACCAGTTGCTGCAGTGTTGGGCCATCCTGCTGTGGTTGCTGGGGGTGCTGCAGAGAAACGTTCATCAGGTAAATGCATAGGTTATGACAAAGTATTGAAAAAACTAACGGAGACAAGTTGGGACCTGTGGGAGGCAAAGCCATGTGGTGCCATCTAGGGTGGTGGAGAGCAGGTGAAAGAGGCATCCTTGGAGGGGAAGTCATCCAAACACAAGGGAACCTGTATTTGACATGCTTGACGTCAGGTGATGGCAGGATATCCACGTGAATAGGTTTTTTTAGGGGGGGTGTTGGAAGCTGTGTTTTGGTCACTAAGAACCAGTTCCCCTCTATAAAAATAATGACTAGCATGACTCTGTGTGAACACCCCGCTCACCTTTCTGAGAGCATCCATCACGACGCCTATGCTGTTACCTGAGTTTGGCAGATACTTCATTATTATTTGTTAAATTGTATTGAGTTAGTCCATTTTAAAAAGATTTCATCAAAATGTACTACGATGGTGGGAACAAAAATATCCTTTAAATTTTGATGCTAGATTTTTCTTTGTGTATGGGCCGATGGACAGTAATCCCTATTTTTTTTTTTTTTTTTTTTTGAAAACAGAGAGTTCAGTTTATTCAATCAACAAGTATTGATTGAGCAGATAGTTTGTATTTGGTGTGATTCTGCACACTGGCATATGGCCCAAAACATTATTTTCTAATTGGTATTATTAGGAAATCTCATTAGTTTTTTTCTCAAAAGCTTTTTGTGTTACAACATATATAGGAAAATTACTCAGTAGTTAATATTTAATTCTTTGGTCTCTCTGTATATCAAACCATGGATTCAACATTAAGAGACATAGACATATATATCTTATGGTTTCCATTCTCCAATAGTAGTAACTGTATCAGATTGGTCCTGACAGACATTTTTAGCTTTCTTTTCCATCACCTCCAGAATTTACTTCAAAATGACACCAAGGTTAGGGAGAACTGAAATTTCAAGTAGACACATTATATAACCTAACATTTATAGTACCAGCTTTGACAAAAGTGCTAAGTGAAGCTACTGACCTCATCTGTACTTCATACTTCTCTGAAGAGAGGCTTTGAGTAGTCAGGGAAGGATGTCACCCCTTTTCACATTGATCTATGGCATCCACATGGTCTGACAAGCCACACTTTGACCTTATGTAGCTCAGGAACTGGACCAGTGTGGCATCCTTTGCACCAGAGACTTCATGGGACCATCAGGGAAGGTATTATAAGGGCTTTTACTAGTTTTCTAAAAAGGGGCCAATGATCCCTGTTAAAATAAAGAGAGAAAGGACACTTTAAAGAAAAGCAAGACCTTACATTAATATTTTACACCACAAATGTATTTTATTATCAATATTGGGAGTCAACTCCTGGAGTCTGGTGCCCTGAATATAGTACTTTTCTCATTAGGGCTTCAGAAAATATGTTCCTGGAATTAGAATGAATGCTTTTACTTTTTTTTAGACCAACATGTAAATAAATGGGAATGAGAGATTCTCTCAGTTAATAAAATCCTTAAGATATGATCTGAGAATATAAGGAGACAAATAACAATTGGCTAAGGGCAACCTACATGTCCTTCGTACAAAGGAGCAGTCCCTGAGACCACGAGGACGATGCCTCCACGGACCAAAGTAAACATCTCACAAACCAAGTGCATGCCCAGGGGTTCCTCCTCTTACTTCCTGACCGCCCTTCACCACATGCCATTTTCTTCAATTCATCTGCAGTCACTGGTAAAACAGCAGTGCCCATAAAAGTGCTTTGCTCCTGGGTACGGTGTATTATGAGCAAAATACCCTACCCATGAACGAAGCCCAGACTTGGATAAAATTAATACTATCCATTTTAATAATATATAGATCCAATGATTAGAGAAAGAAAAGGACATTTGAGTGAAACACAAACACACTTAGCATGAGGCAGGGTGCTACTCATGAGGGTGCCTTATAGTTGGCTTAGCCCAGGCTTCTCCCAGGGGCCCTTGCTGTCCACAGGTCACCAGCACTCAAAATATAGCAGCCACCTCGGTAGGTGCCTAAAAGCTCACTGTCACACTAAGTGACTCCGGGGTCCATTTCCCAGGGACGCCATTCCTCTGGCAGGCCTGCTGATGCCCTATTTCTGCCATCTTGAAACTAGGCTGTGAATTTTTTGGTGACAAGGGCCAGCTATTGATTTATTATTTTTCTTTATATTCTTGAAAGCTGGTACAGTTCCTTGCATGGAGAAGGCAAGGAGACGTGTCCTTAAACACCAGCTGACAAAATGCATAAATATATTCTGCACTGGCTTTCCCCCTCTCTTTCCCCTCTTTGTTCACCCTTCACAATGAAACTATTAATTAGATATGTACTTACCAATCATCCTACAGCTATATCCTTTGGCACTTTGGACTCCTCGTGGTTTATGGCAATCCCTGGACTCCTGAGTATACACATAGCTTCATGATGTACTATTCATAAATCTATTCCCCTGTCTCTTCTGACTTCTCTGTGGGTTAAATGTAATCTCTAAACACTCCATACCTTGTGATTGCTTTGAATGAACCTAGATACTATAAGATGTGTCTTCCATCTATGAGTCTCACTTATATAGTCATTCACTAAAGTAATGCTGATCATGTTAAATCTTCAAAGAATAAAACAAAGATAAATAGTAAAAATGTGCATGCACCTCCCTATTCTCCCAGGCCTTTATTCCCCTCCCCCTTAAGTTTCTAGCTTAATTTTGGCTGAAGTATTTTTACAAAGTTGGGTTATTTTAGGCCCATTGTCATGGAAGTGATCAATATCCTTCCAGTAGGGTGTGTACAGACATTTTTGTATGTGTGTGTTATGAATGACACAATTTTTATGTCAAAGTTAAAATACAAACTTGAAATCACCCAGCCTGTTAAGTTGATCCAGATGTGCTGAGAACATAACATTTACACAAGCCTTTATTAAAATGCTTGGCTCATGGATACGGTTGTGATGGCGGTTTGCAGGCTAATACATCTCTAAAGCAGTGCTAGATTTTGACATTGATGAGTATAGCACTTAACATAATTACCCTTTCAGATCTTTGCTGGTGAATTTTATTAACAAGTTGAGGGGGAAAATGTTTAGGAGGAATATTTAGGAGTGGACCTGTGTAGGTCAGTACACAGAGACAAATGTCAACAACAGACTCTACTTTTTAAAAAGTGATAGATAGATCCAGAAGCACTCAAAACCTGGGCTTTGAAGACATAAAACTTTCAAATGAGTGAGCTTTCTGAAAAGTTATGAGTGGCATTTGAATGTTTTATTGAAAAACAGAGAAGTCCTTTCATTAGGAGAGCATTGTGCTTCATCAGTGGATATAAATGAACAAAAAATGTGACAACTTCCATTTGAGAGAGTATTGATGGAGCTCTCACAGTTGCTTGCTGATGAATAATTTAAAACTTAAATTATTTAAAACTTGCCTTTAAATAAAGTTTGCTTTTTATATGTTTTCATGAAAAATGTTCCTATTGTTTCTTCTGTAAATTAGCATTTGTAGCTACTGTCTTCTGCCCTTAGTAATATCATGATTTGATTTGTATTTATTGGGAAATGAATAATATGAGAATGAAGACTAAAGAGACCAAATCGAGATTGTTGTGAAAAAAATAATATTATTGTGCAAAAAAATAGAAAGATACCAATTTTATGGTATTTTGGGGGGTGTTTTTTCTAGAAGGTAATGAGTTTAATCATTTCATCTCTTACTCTTAATAATTTTCTTTACTGGTGAAACACAATGATGGCCTGGATTGCCTTCTAAATCTAAAGAAATAATAGCTAATATAACCCTCCAGTTGAGAATGGATTTAGAGAACTTCCTTTTCTGTGGCTTCAGAGAAAGTTCTATACTTTCTCCCAATTTAGCCTTTCTTCACCAGGACACACTTTGAGTAGAGAGATGAGGAATTTGAAAATCAGATGCTACCATACATGTCTCCAGTATCACTTACACCCTGCAAGGCAGACCCAGGTCTGATGTTCCTGTTACAGCCCCTCTCCCAGGGGAGTGCTTAGGCTTCTGGAGGCAAGGAGCCTACAGTGCTCAAGTGGGAGGTTCAGCTCCTGTCATGAATGTGGTGAGTTTATTTGTTATAAGGGAGCCAAACTCTCCATAACATCTGTCCCATGATTCTCAGATTCTGTGAATCTTAGAGTATCCTGCTCAGATTAAATTTGAAAAAAAAATGCAGCTCAAAAACACAGAGATTTCCCAGCATCTCAGCTTCAAGAAAAACAGTGTAATATCCAAATTTTCTTTCTTGCTGACAACATCATAGCTTAGGATGCAAATGTGTTTTTTTTTCTTGTTGATGAATTATCTTTCTTTGTTCCAGTAGAGTATAATGTTTCCTTTGTTATATATTTTATAACTTTTTAGACCAACTCTATTTTATCTATGAATTTGTCTCTATGTCCATGTTCCAGTAACTTCACGATTGTAATTGCTGTATTTTGCAAGTACTTCTTATATCTTAGAAGATTGCTGCCACTATTCTTTTTATAT